TGTAACATGCGCGTTCCTTGGTGCTCAGATAGCAGTTAGATGGTGTTCAAAGGCGACGTTTCCGTCAAAATTAAGACCTTTCTGAAACCTCAGCTTAACAGAGGACTTGCAGTTTTCTAAGATTTGCTATTGAGACCTTGTAGGGAGTCCCGGGGAAGCATCCGGGGAAACCCCTCATAGTTTACCTGGCGCTTACCTATACCTTTGAAGCACCCACTTCGTGCCCTAGACGTACCCCTCGGAAGCAGCGCGCTCACGTACTCTAAACTCGACCACTCGACAACAGCTGGTTTAGAGACGATGTGTTTTTTGTGCAATAGCCTGGGAGGTAAAAACCCGACGACATGTAATCACGACGACATTTAATGTGCAGAACGTAATATTTTGGTGTTTTAGCACAGTATTTGTCACATAAAATGAGGCTTGATCCGATAAATTAAGTACAAGGTCGTCTACATGGTTCAACGTGAGTCTTTAACCTTGACAACAGAGCGTGGCCGCTGTCTGGCACGATTAGTATATTTCGCGGCTAGCCGCAATATCACGATTGAAACCTCTCAGGATGGAACTTGTGGAAGGTAAATTACTTATCGTTTTTGGGTAGAGATCTATATGTTGTTCCAACTGACCTGAAAATTCCTTTGCTGTAACCAATTAATCCGATCATGTGTAAAATCCAGTAAGAGCTAAAAGTAAACCAAATAAGCCACCTACCCAAGGTCGTGTTGGGTAGCTTAAACAAGTTGTGCGTTGTGAACGGGGCCCATGTGAGTGCGGTCGTGCTGGAATACTCCTGCTTTTCCGTGAGGCCAGATACCCGGAACACCGAGTTAGGTTTTCCGTGAGGCCAGGTTCCCGGAACACCGAGTTAGGTTTTCCGTGAGGCCAGGTTCCCGGAACACCGAGTTAGGTTTTCCGTGAGGCCAGGTGCCCAGAACACCGAGTTAGGTTTTCCGTGAGGCCAGGTTCCCAGAACACCGGGTTAGGTCCGCCGCTTGTGTTGTAGGTTCTCGATTTGAAAACACACGCCTATAGTCGCCCCGGGGCAGCCCCTCCGTACCAAAGTCATAGCATGTATTCGTATGTAGAAGACTAAATGCCGCAGCTAACCATTTCACGTAGACAAGTGAAAATAGAAATATCGAGAACATGTGATGCTGTTTGATGACACAAGAAATTGAGCGCGCTTGCGTGGTGCTTGACACAGGTTCGCGACGAGTAAGACAGTTGAAAAAACTGCCTATATGTGCAATTTCCGTTTATAGATGGCCACCTATGTAAATAGGCGAACGCCACTTTACATACACTGACGTGATTTGCACGGCCTTATGGGGGCGTTAGTCTGAAGCCCATACCAGTCCGATCAGGCCTTGACACGCCAGCACGTCATCCTCAGATGACCGTTCGCCACACGTGCCAATCGGCTAAAAGGAACTTGCGCAGGGAAGAAAGCAGCATTCAAAGTATTTTGCAACCTCTGCCTAGGAATATTGCATCGTTTGTGACCGGTTTTATGAACACCTTGGAAGCGCATGTATGCGGAGAGCGTACACACCACTTAGTGAATGCATGGCAGCATGATACACGGCAGTGGAATGTAGTGCAACAAATACCAGCTTTAAAGTAGAAATTTCAGCACCGGCAAAGCATTTCAGGATGCGATTGCTGCACAGCCGTAATCATCTAACGAGGCTGAACATCAGCGCGTTAATCCATTTTTGAGCAACGTTGTTTTTCTATATACGCATGCAAAGTTCTCTGGTCGCGGTTAACACCGGCACATGCCGGCAAGTTTCCCTGCACGCTTTCGATCGGCATGTGCCATCGAGGCCTTTCGGGGTTTAGCAATCTGTGTTTTGGACAGCCTTTGTCACAGAACCGCAAATTAAGTGGCTGGCGCGGGACCCTCAATGACTCGGATGCTTGTGATGTTCATGGAATGCTGCTGAATTGCGGCGTTTGTGGTAAATCATTGTTGGGCCTCATAAAACCCTCACGCTTAAAGCCAGCCACCATATGTATATATATATATATATATATATATATATATATATATATATATATATATATATATATATATAGCTGGTATATATTGCAGTCCGTTTTTGTTTTTGCTCCGATCTAGGTGTTATTTCTTGAAAACCCACCATCAGCTGCAGACTGACCTAAAATATAACAGATTTGGAATGAGAAGGGCAAAAAAGGTCCGTACAGGAAGCGTGGTACAAAGTGAGCATGAAAGTGCTGGTGATGTTTTCGGGCACTTGGTATACCAGCGTTTCAGGGAAATTTTCTGTATTTTCTTTGTCCAGCATTCCTGTTTTGCCGGATTCATTGCGGAGGAGGGGCTCAGAGGAGTATCGGGGAAGGGGACGCAGGCCAGTATGGGGAGGGATGGCTCGTCCCCACGAAAGTACATAAGGTGACACCCTCGTCTACAAGTGTTCTGCGAAGTACTATGGAATAGCACAAGGTGCTGATGGGGACAGGCGCTTGTCGTGGTCACATGCCAGAGCGGGGTACGGCCACAGGTAGCCAGCAGGGAGACACGGCGGCATAGGACATCAGGGAATAGTCACACACGCCCAGCAGCTAGGTGTAGTCAGACGGGAGCCGACGCATGCCACAGGAGCTGGGTACAGCCACTCATGAGGTCAGGACAGAGCTCGGTGGGCGCCTGAGGACAGGAGCCACCTGTCGTCACCCGGAGGGTCAGGACAGCGCTGGCCAGTAACGCAGAGGGACAGGAGCCTGCTGTCGTCACTCGGAGGGTCAGGACAGCGCTGGCCAGTAACGCAGAGGGTGGGCGCCTGAGGACAGGAGCCTGCTGTCGTCACCCGGAGGGTCAGGACAGCGCTGGCCAGTAACGCAGAGGGACAGCAGCCGATTCTCGTCACATTTGAAGGCCGGAGACTCCTCACAAACGGACAGCGGCTTCAGCAGTCTCCAGCGGTACGAGTGTAGCTCAGTAGGGAGAGAGGCAGGGGTTAGTGGCGACCGCGACACTGTCGCTACCGCCACACGGGTCGCCGCCATCCATACACCCCCGCACAGTGAGCGTGCCAGCCGGCAACAGTCGACAGCAGCCGGGACCGGGCGTTGTGCGAGTCGTCTTGCGTTGGTGCGCAGCTCCTGCTCAGGCGTTACCACACGGCGAACACGAGCGTGTGCATGCTGCGGTCGGATCCCGACGCAGGGGTGCGGCCCGTCCGCAGCAGAAGCAGGCTTTTCTGTATTGCTATTGGGTAAGCGGAGTCGGTGTAGCCCACCTGGATTGGTTGGGCGGAGCTGTCGGCGTGTTCGAGTCCTCTACACGTCTGCCACTTCGCACAGCAACAGTAAGGCATATGTATAGGCAGGAGAAAGACAGACAATGTAGAGGAAAAATAAACGTCCAAACTTTAAAGATTGCCAGAGGCGAAAAATGAACAAGAATCGGGATTTTTAGCAGTCACACGGAGAGGTAATTTCCAAAGGGCGGCCACTCATAATGCTGGTTTTGGCAGCTGCTCAAAGCGTCTCCTTAACCCCAATACCTTCGACCTACGCTTAGCACGCGGGGCAACGGACTTTGAACAGCATTACATCATTTCCGGGCACAAGATCATTGAATTGTGCAATATATCCAGTGCATGGCGCATAACAAGATATTTCAGTGCAAAATATTCATCGAAACATGCGCCTGAGTATTTTCACAACTTGGTGAACGACTTGGTGACTTTCGACTTGGATTGGTGTCCCAGACTCCCAGATAACGCCTCCAGACAACCAGTATTACGTTTTCCCACCGCACTTCGGGGGCCTGGCTTGGCTTGCGGCGAAGTCCGAGGAACTACTTCCCGGCGGCGCTCAAAAAACAAAGCTCCAGCACTCAACAACGCTGGTGTCTGGCCGTGGGCTGATGGTCAGCTTTAAATCCCATGTGCATTGTGAAAGGACATGGTCAGAGCGCACAGTATTCAGCCGCTGACATGACGCCGGCCGTTACGGCGCCAAGGCTGGATACCCTTAAGACAAGAGATACGCGCGCGACAGCACGTACAGGCATCATGAGCATGCAGCGTGTGTCCTTTTGACATATCTAATGATATCCTAGCATCACCTTTTGTTGATAATGATACTTTGGGATTTAAGGGTGTGTCGACATCAAAGTCATATCGCGCACATGAGGGCTGTGTAGGGCTCTGTTGAGTTATAACCAACAAGGAGAAAATACAGCTTAAAACTTGACGACTCGGAAAAAGAAGCCAATGACTAGTATTTTAATGAAGTCTCACAGTGTGTCGCGATAAGTAAAGCATGACACTTGTCGTCCAAAATAACGCAACCGTTCTTCCTCGAAATGTGAACAGGAGTGAAACACATGGGCAATTGTCAACGGTGCGGTACATTCAGCGCATTGAGGTCTTACGCAAACACAGAAGTAGTATGAGTGGCGGGAGCATGGCCATTTCGCGGCCGGTACAGAGCGACCTCTTCACACCTAGCCGCCCGAGCTATACGGCCAAAGGCCCAGCACTGGCTTCATCATCTTTAGTGTGTTGTCGCTTTCGTCATCCCGACAGCGCTGCCATTTTCTTTTTAAATACGCTTTTGGGCCGGAACCGTCGGAATAAGTTATTTTGCCACGGAACACAAAAACTAGCCCGTCCAAAAGGGTCAGTCAACAGGCCGTCAATTTATCTTTCCATCATGTCTTGCCATGTACTCTCTTGAACAATAGCATTGGTTGGCCAGACAAATCCACTGCGCAACCAGATGACGGTTAGTGGATGCGTGCTGCGGGGCGGGCAACCTTCAGCGGGGCTCCTCCCATTCCATCCAACACTCGATAACTATCTGCGTCAACTTGCCAGTGTGCCGACGCCGCACCTGGGACCAGCATCAACACCCGTCCGCCACGCTGGGAACGAGAAGTTTCGCAGCAGATTAGCCGATGGCAAGTTACATAAGTCTGAAGTCTGCAATGTCAGCCCCAGGCAGAAAGAGCCAGCCACCCTTCGTGTTGTATATTCAACTCTCAGCTGTCTGCATACACACATGCGAGGTATACAAGCACACTGAAACGCGAGTGAATGTTTCCTCCGACAGCGTATGTAACAACTGTGCAAACGGCGACTCAGATATTGCACTATCCACGCCCTAGGCCTTTGCATGCGAATCTCAACGCATAGCCAACTCTCGTTAAGCAGTGCTTTGGTGAACCATGCCCTTTCTTCATACTGTTCAAATAATACCTAACGGTATCGTCGCCAAGATAGAAACCGCATTAATGCCACCCACACGGTACGAGGATAACGCCATTTTCGTACGAGAGTTTCCATCGACTGGTTTAGAACCAACACCGAAATGGTTTAGACCAAACATCTGGAGCGTAAACAAATCTAGCAGCCTTAAAACCTTGAGCTCCGAGCTGGGTTGTCGTACATAAAGGCAACACTTCGACACTTTTCCAGGACGAAATGTCCGTTCTGGGGCGGCTGCACGAACTCTACACCCTTCCACTAACCCTGCTTACAATGCCCTCACTTGATCCCTGATGTGCTACATTGCTACATAACTGGTGAGTACAGCAGACTTAGGGCGCGAGCAAAGAATACGAGCCATGCTAAGTCTCGCTACGCCCCACCCGCGGCCGACGGTGCACCCGCACCCGCAGGGGAATGTAGGCGAGCGGTGGATCTATGCTGGCCGAAGCCAGCGGCCACGCTCCTGAAGCGAACCGCGCACTTAGCTCGCACCACCCGTACACGCACGTGTCAGTGCTCCCCTCGGCACCAGCGCCCGCCGTGAGCTCCCATCCCCGCCGCTGCCGACCAGCTCGGCCATCCGGACGCCCTTAAAATGGCCTTTCCATGTCTCATTAGCGGGCTGGCCGGGCAAAGGCCGTCCGCCGTCCGGGCCGGCAATTAATCGTGACTCAGAGAGCAGGACGGCACCTGGCGGCTGCGGCGACCGTCCCGGCGCGGTCGGCGGCCGGCGCCAGCCCCAGCTCGGGTGCGCCCGACGGTGACGGCGGCGATGGGGCGGCGCACGGCTGGCCTTCTACGAACGGGCCACATGCACGACGTAGCCCTTGTTCTTGATGACGCCCTTGTGCTGCACCATGACCAGGTAGCGCAGTGACCAGACGAGCGCCCAGCGGTCCGGATCAGCCAGCGTCATGTGTCGGCTGAGCACTGGTCGCAGCACCCCGTCCGGCAGGATCTCTGCAGGGCCGAGCGCACGGTGTCGGCGGCGCACCACATCACTGAACGGACAACACCATACGTCGGTTGGGGGGTGCAGCTATATGACACAGCGACAGGCCTTTCACACTCATCTAGAAAAATTAACGTTGCATATCACGCGCTTCACATTTTTTAACTGAGACATGCCAATAAACAAGCACCGAAAGAGCAGTCCAGTCCAGCCAGGCGCCTCACCCTGCGCATCGTTGTGCGTCAGAATCTGCACCTCCCGCTCCCTGCAGAACGTGCGCAGGTCCTCCGGCACCGAGCAGCAGTTGGTCAGATTGATCTGGATCAGCGACGGCTTCACCTCAATCTGCGACGCAAAAAAACGCATTTCTATCTCAGGCGTCCGGTGCAGGCCGTGGCGCTCCAGCACTGGCGCCAGAGCGACAGACACGCGGCGTCGAGTCTCACGGCAACGCGTTCAACACGGCACCGCCCGAACTGATCCCCGACGAAAAACAAGGCACCGCGCCGCTGCAACTCCGGGCTTACAACGCCGCCAACTGTGCTCGAGTGTAAAAGTAGCGTGCCTTCCGTGTGTTTACCGGCTGAACATGGCGAGTGAGTTGGAGCAAAAGCAGTGAATGTTCCTAAGGCTTTCCTTCTTAACCAGCCGAATTACGGACCGCCCGCAAAACAACACAGCGAACGGAGAAAATGACGGCGAGGCGGGGCACGGTGAGTAGTGGTGCCGGCGCTACTGCCAGGGGTCAGGACAGGCCAAACGTGGCTTTTGACCATTGAGTACGCTTAGAGCTCAGGCCTTCCGACCGGCGCTCGCTGATGGTAATAGCAAAGCTGATTGAGACGCTATTACTGTTTCAATTCTGGAAATGTCGCGTTCCCACAAGTTTAATCCTCCCGACTGCGCACAGAGGCATCACCGCCCAGGACGGCATGGCTGCCAGCGCAGACGCCGCTCAGGCGTCAAAGCGTCAGTCAACAGCAGGCTGCCAGCGCAGACGCTGCCCACACGTCAGAGCGCCAGTCAACAGCAGGCGGTCAGCGCCGACGCCGCTCAGACGTCAGAGCGCCAGTCAACAGCAGGCTGCCAGCGCAGGCGCCGCTCAGACGTCAAAGCGTCAGTCAACAGCAGGCTGCCAGCGCAGACGCTGCCCACACGTCAGAGCGTCAGTCAACAGCAGGCGGCCAGCGCAGACGCTGCTCACACGTCAGAGCGCCAGTCAACAGCAGGCGGCCAGCGCAGACGCTGCTCACACGTCAGAGCGCCAGTCAACAGCAGGCGGCCAGCGCAGAGGCTGCTCAAGCGTCAGCGCGCCCGGGAGCGCCAGTCAACAACAGGCTGCTAAGCTGGCCCGGCCGGCTCCGACTCTCCCGAGCCGTCAGCCACCGCTCGAGCCGCGCTATCGCGTGACCGCGTCCGACAGCCGGAGACCGCGCCACAATGGCCGCCGGCAGGCCGGCCGCTCGACCGCGCCGCGTCAACAGCCGACACATCTCAGCCGCCGTCACGGCGGCGTGCCGGCTCCGCACCGCGCCACGTGACTCCGGTGGAGGCGCCTCAGCTGCCCGGAAGGCGGACTCGGCCGGGTGAGGCGGAGCAAGAGGAGCGGCCCAGCCAGCCCACCGCTGCCTTCAGCGTCCGGCGCCAGAGCGGGCAACAGTCGGCCGGCGACACCCGACGCGTGGCGGCCGCCAGACGCAGCCGCAGACCGCCGCCAAATCTGCGCGCCGCCCGTCAGGACCGCCGCCGGCCGGCGCCCGGCACCGCAGGGCGGCCGGCCGGCCAGCACCAGCCGCGCGCCGTAATTGCCGGCGGTGTTCAGCTCGCATGCTGTCCACGATAAGTCGAATTGGTTGGCCGCTTATCTGATGCCACAACTCGCGCCGCCGGCGGCCGGAGTCGATGTTCGGAGCCAGACGTAATATAACAGACAAGTTTCCAATCGCCGCATCACACCATTCACCGGAAATGGATCGTAGCGGCCGAGCGTGACAACTGCCGGTGGACGAGATTTCAACCAAATCGCCGCCGCCATCCCATACAAGAGCGAAGCGCGGCCGGACACGTCGTCTGGACACTAGAAGGCTGGGCTGACACATCGCACAGCCAGCAGTTTTATCGTGCCTTCCGACGGGTTCGTCCTGGGGTTCCACAGAATAGTAAAGCCAGCGGAAAGAGGCCCTTCTGATCACGAACATCACTGTCCACAGAGTATCGCCGAGCTGAATAATTGGTGACTAGTCCGTTCTCATTTGCCGTGCACAGCCACCAATCTCTCTCTCTCTCTCTCCCTCTCTCCCTCTCTCCCTCTCCCTCTCCCTCTCCCTCTCTCTCCTCTCCTCTCTCCTTCTCCTCTCTCTCTCTCTCTCTCTCTCTCTCTCTCTCTCCTCTCTCTCCTCTCTCTCTCTCTCTCTCTCCCTCTCTCTCTCTTCCCTCTCTCTCTCTCTCCCCTCTCTCTCTCTCTCCCTCCTCTCTCTCTCTCCCTCTCTTCTCTCTCCCTCTCTCTCTCCCTCTCTCTCTCCCCCTCTCCAAGCTGCTTGCCTCTTCACCGCTGACAACGCACTCACCCGGTCGCACTCGAAGACGGCCTCGAAGAGACTCTGTTCCACATCTGCCAGGCCTAGGTACGCCACCTTCTGCTGGGCGTGGAAGCGTTCGAGCACCTTCCAGAGTGGCAGCAGCTGCTGCAGGCTCGTCTCGTCCCAGGGCACCGGGTTTGACAGCACGATCGCCTCAATCTGCTCCACCGACAGCTCCGTCAGCGCTGGCGACGGGTCGCCAGGTCAGGTCACCCACAGACAGTTGCCGAAGACCGGTCGCCGATCTTTGATCACTGACAGCCAGCCGCCCAAAGCTCATCACCAATGGTTGGTCATCCGAAGCTCATCACCGGCAGCCGGCCACCCAAAGCTCATCACCGATGGTTGGTCATACGAAGCTCATCACCGGCAGCCGGCCACCCAAAGCTCATCACCGATGGTTGGTAATCCGAAGCTCATCACCGGCAGCCGGCCACCCAAAGCTCATCATAGGCCGCTCGTCATCCAAGAAAGAGCCTATCGGACGGGCCAACGGGCAGAGAAGAAGCGAGGACTACACAGGAAAACGGATGACTTGGAATGTATCTGGCTATTCGTTAAAGACATTTTCGTAGTTTCCACGGGCAAGCCAGCTAAAAGTTCTTAGTTTTCGCGTTTTACCATTAGAGATCGATGCTGTTTCTGGGAGGTTTCTGGAAACCCGAACCAGGTAAGTCTATGACGCATACAATCTGCAGGCAGCATTGCCACAATAGGGGCGAGCTCACGAGGAATTATCACGAACTAAGCTGCTTTACCAAGCTGCTTTGCTGAAACAGTGAATAGCGGGCGTCGGTCGACATCCTATTCTGCCGAATTCAAGCAAAGGCACAACAGATCAATACTGCAGCAGATGGACACTTGCAATCTAATTACAAACTATTCACGGATAAACCTGAGACAGGGCAGATGGGAAGAAACACAGCCAAAGCAACACACCAGCCGTGAACAAAAGCAAACACGGAAACATCCCTGGAGCAACGGTGTTAGCGTACCGCGGGCTACGCAATATAGCGCGCCACTGCAAGTTACACCTGATTTTGGGCGGCCACTTTGCTCTTCTTTTAATATTTAGCCTAGCACGGGTCAACACGCTGGTTCGCGACTGCGCGTGCGCCACCGCGCGGCACGATGTTCCGGGTCCCGCGTTGTCACGCTATTAAACGATGTCACGTATGTATGTCACGTATGTATGTCCGTATGTCACGCTATTTATGTCACGCTAAAACTGTACATAAATAGCAAAGCCTGAAATGTCTGCCGGTGGTTCATGCCCCAAATTCAATTATTTCTGAAATAGGACGAATACAAAACAACTGGCAATGGTCCCTTAGCATAAATATTTTTCCAGTCCGCACACTAGCAGTAAAATCTTGATGCTGGGCGTACCGTTTTACAAACACACTACTGACAAATCAGCCTGAGAGGCAGAGTTGTGAAGGGTTCGCCCGTCCCGCCCCGGTGACCCGGTGACCGGGTCACCCGTGTCGGTCACCGGGTCACCGGTCCCGACCCGGTGACCGGGTCTTGTACCTCGCTCCACGGCGTGCCCGACCGCCTCGGCGTTCAGTCCGTTGGGAAACAGCTTGACGGTGATGCTGAGCGGCTCGCGCTCCTCGTCACCGAGGCTGACGCTGTAGCACGGGCACGGCACTGCCATCTGACGGATAGAAATGAAATAGGTAATACCAGAAGCAGTCGCCAGTATGTTATGGAACAAAATGGGCCCAACAGCGAAAAATGCATGGTAGCCTGACAGTTGGCAGCATTCCTGCCCAGCTCAATGCACAGGTACCACAGGTGTCTTAGGTCCATTTCAGAATCTTATCATAACGTTAACGAAGATCAAAGATCTTATCATAACGTTAACAAAGATCAACTGAAAGTCAAGGTCACCTCAAGGGCACGCCATGTTATAAAACCTTTATATTACTTCGCTTCAAATCGCATGCTTACCTTTATGGTTTTACCGCATACCAGTTGTGTTAATTCAGCGCAAATGACACAAGAAATCGCTTACATGACGCTCCTTAGCCGACCAAACATAAACTCTGATGTCAACCTGACATGGCGTGGTCAGGTGCGACTGATCCTGACCGGAAAACAGTGCCAGCGATCGGTTGCTTAGTCAAGGCAGCCCAAAGAGAAAAGATACCGTGACCTGCTTCATATACAGGCGAAATTGACCGTGCACGCCTTAATGCATTGCGTTATAACTTCACGGAGTGAGGTGTGATGGAACAATGATGTTCTCCAAAATATGTAGGCGATCACGTGCCAGGCATTGCAAATCCGGTGGACTTATCCAGAACACTGGAAATTAACTTGGAGAGGATTACTTTTCCTCGACCCCATCCTCCCTCTCCCGTACAGGCGTCCGTAGGTTAAGATTCAGCTGAGAAGGAAAGACACCAAGCCGAGATGAAAATGATGGGTCGCAGTGGGTTGAAAAGTGTCTTGACAGTGGCCCTTTCAGTGACATCTGACACATGTGATAAGCTTACAACAACTGAAGACTGGTCGAGTTCGTCCTTTGTCGGCTGATAAATGTCCAGCATGTGGTCCAGAGAAGACACCAGCTGTGGACATGCCATTGAAGGTTATGCACATGCCAAAGCTGTCGGGAAGCCTACAGCTTTCTGCATGGAAAAGATGGCCACGCAAACAAGCGTGGGCTGGAAAACCGCATGTGCCATTATAAGCCGCGCGCTGAACAATAATCAAACATGCCAATGTCTATTGGGCCTGGAGGACTCCGAACAATTCGACTATTTGATATCCTCAACATAACATAACATAACATAACAGCACCTCATGATTCAGCTTACTCCACGCAATTATCTAAGGGTGCACAATGTCATAGTTATCTCCTATCGTCCATACCAAGGGTCCACATAGCCCTCAGTATTTTGCAAGGTACAACCCAGGACAGGGCAAATGTCAATAATGGCACAGACTTTACAGATTCTGTGCAGAAAAGGTATTTTGGTCGCAATAAGATGGCAGAAAGACGAAAATACGCTGCTGAAAAGAAGCACGAGTTATTTCGCATGTTTAAAACTGCCACAGCCTCACATCGTACGCATGGTATGCCAACATCAAGGTCGTATGCTTGTTGAGCCATAGCCGATGATTGAGTCGGCACACCCAGCTGCGAGCCATGCAAGGATGCACTCAAATAAACACACAAAACAAGTATCATGTAATTTGTTCATTATCATGTTTACATCAAGTTATAAATGAATAATAAACACCGGACAAGACTTGTGGCATTAATATACCACTCGCTAAGGTCCAGCCGCTGCCACGGCATCAATGTATTTTCCACAAGTCCACTGGGGTGATGCTTTCTCACACGTTGACACAAGGCGGCACAGATGACCAGCAACCGGGGAGACGGTCCAACCCAGAGACGATCTAAAGAGTCTGCGGTGGCGCAGAGGCGGCGATGGCCGGCTCAGAAGGTAATTCATGACACAGATCTAGAGCCTGCGGTGGCGCAGAGGCGGCGATGGCCGGCTCAGAAGGTAATTCATGACACAGATCTAGAGCCTGCGGTGGCGCAGGGGAAGCAATGGCCGGCTCAGAAGGGTATCCATAACACAGATCTACAGAGCCTGCGGTGGCGCAGGGGAAGCAATGGCCGGCTCAGAAGGGTGTCCATAACACAGATCTACAGAGCCTGCGGTGGCGCAGAGACAACGGCGGCGGAGGCCGGCTCAGGAGGGTATCCATAACACAGACACAGCTAGCCCCATGGCTGTAGTCAACACCGGCACAGCGTTTGTTCGCTTTTCGGGCTTCCGGGCGTTGTAACTATATGGTCAGATAACGCCCATTTGAAACTTAACTGTGCTGTTTCTAATGAGAAACTGAGGTCAATGAAGCAATACACCATTCTATGCTGTTTTGTTGGTGCCAAAAAATACGTGCGGGCCCATTGCAGTTGTGTGAACAAAAGTAGCTAGTATTCCTGGTGTGCTACACTGACACAAATAGGGTGACCATTTACATAGTACTTGCATTTTGCTTGCTATAAATTACTTATAGAAATATTTCCATTTTTAAATCCATACCTTGGTGTACACTTAGCAAACACCCCTACATATGACATACATATTTCATACACATGCAAACTTGATGTTCTATTATTATTGCACAGCACATGCCACACAACCACACTTACCACGCTTCAAGGCATCATATCATTTCAATGTGTGTTGTCCTCATGATCCACAACTCAGCATCAAATGCAGCCATGGCTCAACTGCCTAAATCCAGAACTAGGCAAGGATCTCAAGTGCTGCACCAAATGCATTCAATAGAATTGCACAGACATGGCAGGTGTGCTTCTCTAGTTGTTGGCAATGACCTACAGAGAAGCTGCACAATCTGCTAATGGACAGTATCACCTCAAGGCCCCATGTCTGATCCTGATTTACTATCCCTTAGCCACCAGTTAACTGCAAAATCTGACCTTTACACTCTGTCCATATGCTTATCCACTTAGCAGCCTAAAATAAGTCAGGCACCCATATGTAACATGATGCATGAAAAGAGGTTGTTTGGTCGGATGAGGTCATTCGGGCCACACCGGACAACCAAGCACCTCGCCTGCCACTGCCCGGACGCACCGTCCGGTCACCGAGGCTACATCCCACATACACAGCAAGTTCAGTCCCACACACAGCAAGCCCAGTCCCACTCACAGCAAGCCCAGTCCCACAACAAAGTATGGTCTCAGACACAGAAAACCCAGTCCCACACACAGTGAGCCTGGTCCCACACACAGTGAGCCCAGTCCCACATACAGGAGACCTGAGTCCCACCAACAGTGAGCCTGAGTCCCACACAGGGAGCCTGAGTCCCACACACAGTGAGCCTAATCACACACACAGTGAGTTCAGTCTCACACACAACAAGCCCAGTCCTATGCACAGTAAACCCAGTTCCACACACAAGGAGCCTGAATCCCACATGAAGGGAGCATGAGTCCCACACACTGTGAGCCCAACCCACACACAGCATGCCCAGTGAAACACATGGTAAACACAGTCCCACACACAGAAAGCCTGAGTCCCACACACGGAGGGTCTGAGTCCAACACACATGGAACCTGAGCCCCACACACAGTGAGCCCAGTCCCACACACAGCAAGTCCAGTCCCATGCACAGCAGACCCCATTTATCATACAGGGAGCCTAGTCCCACACATAGGGAGCCCAGTCCCACCCCAGAGACAGCACCTCAAGCTGCGCTGACTCACCAACTCCCATGTAATGGATGACAACACCAGCTGCCAGTAACCCCAGTCTAACCTCGGCGGTGCTGCTCTGGCCGGCGCGGCGGCGCACGCCACGCATCGAGATGACATTGCCGGTAGACATGGTGACGCTGCTGCAGGCAGCTCCCACGACCAGGGGCTCGCCGCGTGATGAACAAGCCTCTCCGCCCATCTCCTTCAGTCAGTCTGCAGACACAAAGTGGCCGCAACGTCACCACGGTCCCAGAATGAAGGCAACCGACACACTGCATTGGTTGGAGAGTTAATGGCAGCGTGGTGCCTGCCGTGTTCTCTGTGTGTTCTCAGGTGTCAGTGTTGAATTTGCACTGTTATTATAACATATGCAAACAGTGGAACAATGAAGTGGAAAAGAATCAACATCTTGGTTTTAACAAAACAGGCTTACAAATAAATATGCATATTTGCACATGTGCATATGTGTGTGAAAGCATGAGAAATGTATGTGGAACAAGCTCACATAACAACATAACACCTAAGAAAAACAGTCAAAGGCTTAATGATCTTCCTTTTTCAAACATATGTCCAACAAATAAAAAACTGTTAAGGGTGCATGTTGTATACAAATATATCTACATCCAGACACTAATCACCTACTTAACGGATCCACCAATTACCCACTTAATAATGGATCTGTTGATCAACAAAACTCATCTGATCTGATCCACTGAAGATTCATAAAAATTATCAAATGAAAAGAATCACATTTAGACATTTGTATTGCTATGGCAATCAGTACTCCTTGACCAGTCACTTAAATTGTGCAGATTGGAACAAGTGCACATATCATTGTGCAATATGCAACTTAATTACAAAGCCTGGTTTAGCATGTATGCATAGTCTGTATAACATAGTATACAGAGTATCACATAGCCGAGATAAAGTCCACATATGGTCTGCTTTAAGATGAGTTGACTGGACTATTTCAAATATTGTGCTTTCACAGAATTGCCTGAAATATTCTATATTGCACATTACATAATCATGAACCACTCATGGCCTGTACCTGGTAAAAAAGTTAGAATCAGAATTAGATAAACTGGGGTCATCATTGGTTTTTCTATGAAATGTTACTTTGGTCTCGTTTGCATCAGAATGACGACTAAGTAGGTGATTTCAGACTTCCAAACTTGAAAAATACACAGTAATTCCATTATTTGCTCACCTGCATAGAGAGCTAAGTCTGGAGTGCTGAAATTCGCCATCACCGTCAAGCTGAAAGCTAAAACCACTTCACTACATCACATCCATATTTTCTAAGTAAGACAACTGATTGAGCTGTTTGCACCATGCCTCAAAGTTTCCACACAAAAAGATGCAACAATCAGCAAAATCATGCTACAAAAAGTTACCAATAATCAAAATCATTGTTTTGTTGATATTTTGGTGTCATGTGATTAAAATATTTTGGCTATGTGGACACTTTATCTGGAAACACTACATTAAGTGATTAAAACTGGGATGAGGGGCAGTTTATTGTGATATTCACACATGATCTTGGCCATTATCAATGTCAGAGGTATACTGCCCCCTTCATTTTGGGGGCTACTGCCTGCTCCACTTTGGGATGAAAGTGTGCCAAATTTAAGGTTACCACAGTGGGGCATACCTTGAGGTGAGTTTTCTCATTGTTCCATGTCCAGCCCTCTGCACTTATGTTGCAGAACTGCAACCCTGAACAGTGTTGATTCATCATTGAGATGAATTATCTTTCTTGGAACTCAGGGCCCTTGCTAGTAGTTTTAATGTGCCAGTGTTGATGTAAATATCAACTTGGTAGCTGAGGTTTCCCTCATGTCACATGCTGACACCTGGGAACACAACACCCAGTACTTAATTCTGGCCCCAGCATGCATGGGCTGGTAGGCGCTAGCCCGATAGAAATGGGTAGGCCGCCGAATCACTAGGCACCTACCTGCTTTACAAATGACGTAAAAGATGCTCTACGAGATGACCGCGAAACGCCGACACTTCACTCCTGATGTTTCCCCAGCATGCAGCGCACCCCGCCGACTCCTCGCTCGACGGCCAATGCCCGTGACCATGCATCACGATGACGAAGCGGCTTTGGACCAAGCGTAAGCAGGACCCTATCGGCCCCACAGTGTACGGGCTTTGGTCAGTGAGGAGTAAAATGACCGACACGGTATAACACGCAAGCTCATTCTCAAAGACTGTAAACCAATCACTTTTAATTCAACAACCTTTGAGAAGACGCTCAGTAAATCGCCTATCACGCCGACCCAGATGTACAATGCCCGCGAATGACAGTGATCATGTCAATGAATCGTCAAACAGCTATCGCGTAGCTAGCCCAGGCTCAAACGTGAAACTGACCTTAAACACTAGAAATGCGAAAGGGAAACTCCTCGTTCAGGGACATCCCAGACTACGAAATATCTCAATATGATCGTTTCAAAGCCTCCGCCATCCGATGCATAAATCCGATTACTTGATGTGGATTCAGAGCCTGGTGCCCATAGACCTGATGACAATCCATCAATTTCGCCAAAGTCCGAGATTTTTGCCGGCAGACAAGATCACTGTCAGACAGACGACAGAACACAGGTCATCCACGTGCCTCTAAACGTGTATGCACGAATCGGCCGATTGGCGTCATGGGTTACAGGGAAGAACGGGGTCAATACCGGGTTTTGGGAAAACAATTGTTACAGGTAAGGCGTGACCTAAATCTCCGCTTTCTGAATGTCTTAGCATGGGGCAAGTATTTCTTTGTCTTTTGGCATGCGCTGGATGAGCGAAACCGTCATCGTTTTGAAACTGTTGGCATTTCAGCAAAAGCTTGCAAAGGGGCGTCTTATCCCGGGGTGCGAGACGCCCTCCGGTACCGATAGGGCCAGGATAGGACGCCCCTGCCCCCTGCCGTTGACGTCTTTCCCCATTATTTAAACAGGCTGGTGCGCGTGTTTGAGACACGCTTTAAAGCGATTTGCTACTGCTTTAAAGCAGCTGACGCGTGCAAGTTTCGCTCTTTTCAATAAGCACGGCTCAGATTGCTTAATGATAGTTGCACACACACACACACACACACACACACACACACACACACACACACACACACACACACGCACACAATATATATATATATATATATATATATATATATATACACATATATATGTTGGAATATTTTGGCAGAATTCTTTCTTTGATACATGCTTAATTAAAAATAACTGCTGACTCAGCATTCATGAGCTTTTTATGCATCATTCAAGTTTTCGGGCCTTTGACTTTGCGTCATCGCTTAGATTAAAGATGGTTCGCACATGATTACTCATATATTCATCACTCCCTCCATTCTAACGTTTCGAGATCTTATCTCATCTTCGGAGAAGACTAAATTGCACAAAAAATCAGTTTTGAGTTCTAAAGGATGAAAAATTGTGCACTTCTGTTGGAAAACATATTTTGGTACGGAGAACATAAATGAAGCATAACTAATTGAAGCTAAGTGTGCAAAACGTAATACCCTTTCTTGACGTGGCTGTCGATGGACAAGGACAACAATTCAAAACGACTGTATACCGAAAACAGACTAGCAACGGACGGTGCTGAAGTGCTGACAGTGAGTGTCCTCGACGCTACAAAATTAGCGTCATAGGGTCCTTTCTTCGACGAGCATTTAAGCACTGCTCTGATTGGACAGGACTACATTCAGAATTGACACGAATCAAACAGATCCTGGTGAACAACGGTTTTTCAAATTCTGACATTGAAAACGAGACACAACGACATATGACAAGACACTTTGACAGCAAACCAAGGCAAGACATCCAACCGACTGTCAAACTGTACTATCAAAATCAAATGACATCTGCTCACAAACAGGACGAAAAAGCTTTACGGGAAATTATCTCTCAGCATGTCAAAGGCAAAAACGACCACAAAATAGACATTGTCATTTACTATTGTAATAAGAAGATATCGAACTTTCTTATGAGAAACAGCCCAGACAAACCCGACAAACTGAAATGCACCAATGTAGTGTATCAATTCCAATGCAACATCGAAGGCTGCAAACTTCGTCCCACACACTACATTGGTGTGACCACAACGACACTCTCACGACGCCTGACAATGCACTTACGTGACGGGGCACCTCTGGACCACATGCGACAGGAACACGACATGACATTGACACGACAACAACTGACAGACAGCACTGACATTTTACGGACGTGCAGTGACAGAAGACCTTCCTTCAAATTTGGGAAAGCATATTCATTAACGAACTCTCTCCGGCCTTAAACAGACAGACAAATTCTTGCAGAACTCTTGAGCTACTAGGTGGCGGGCGGTGAGCACTTCTGATGTGATTGTGACAATAGTATTCCCATTGTGTCTTTGTGATGTTCCCATTATGAGTGTTTCTTACATGTATGAAGATGAAAATAGCATTCCGTCTTACTTCAATTAGTTATGCTGCATTTATGTTCTCCGTACCAAAAGATGTTTTCCAACGGTAGTGCACAATTTTTCATCCTTTAAAACTCGAAGCTTATTTCTTGTGCAACTTAGTCTTCTCCGAAGATGAGATAGGATCTCGAAATGTTCGAATGGAAGGAGTGATGAATATATGAGTAATTTTGTGCGAACCATTTTTAATCTATGCGATGACGCAAAGTCAAAGGCCCGGAAACTAGAACGATGCATCAAAAAGCTCGTTAATGCTGAGTCAGCGGTTATTTTTAATCAAACATATATATATATATATATATATATATATATATATATATATATATATATATATATATGTGTGTGTGTGTGTGTGTGTGTGTGTGTGTGTGTGTGTGTGTGTGTGTGTGTGTGTGTGTATGTATGTGTGTGTGTGTATGTGTATGTACATACGCTAAAGCTATTTGCATAGCTCTAATTCCGACTCGGCGCGGGTGGTCACGACGCACTCGGTGGGGGAGCGGGGTCAATTTGACTCCTGACAACAAAAAAAACAGAAACAAAAACAGGAGAACCAAAAACACTAAATTCAACAGGTAGAAATGCCTACAAATGAGCTTACTTGTGTCAAATTTTGAGATGAGCTTTTTCAAAATTTATGTTGACCTCTGTGCCGAATAAGATTAAAACTCAGGAATGGTATCTACCCATTTAAGGTCACACCGGCCGGAACGGCTGCACCGCACCTGTGGAAAAAAGGTTGATATTGGTCATTGGGCACTTCCTATTTGAATGGAAGGCCTTACGCTCTTGTCAGCGCCCCATCTGCCCCCCCCCCCCCCCCGTCGGCCACACTGAATTGTTCGAGGGCCCTGTATACTGGGCCTTGGAGGTTTGGATTTAGGGCCCTACCCTCTTGTTGGGAGCCATCTGATAATCTGCTCGGGTACACTCTATCTTTTGGGGACCTCTGCACTGGGTTTTGGGTATTTCCTATTTGAATGGAGGTTCCTTCGCTCTTGACGGGGGCCCTATATGTATGCTAGCCTGCTCGGGTACTGTTTCTGCGCTGTTGTCGGGGGCCCCATCTGTTACCTGTTTGGGCACACTCGATTATTCCGGGGCCCTCATTGTTGTGTCTTGAAGACTTCTTATTTGAATGGATGGTACTATGTTCCTGGCGTGCCCTACATATTAAGCTGCTCGGGCCGGTAGCGGATACAAACGAGGGAGAGGCACGGGACCATGCCGCCCATGGACCACGCCGAGGGGACCTATAGGCAGGGCGGATCCAGAGGGGGGCCACGGGGTCATACCCCCCCCCCCCTTGGGCCCCCAAGGGGTCCATGGGCTCCGCGGGGGCCATCGCCGGCTGAACAGGTGCAGTTTTTGTAACACAAAACGCAACAAAACTGGATGTCTCTGTACTTCCAGACGACCAAGAACAGCTGTAAGCAAAGGTGAAGGGCGTATGAGAAGTCAAAAAATTATTCGGTGATTGGGAAATTTTGAACTGAAAATTTTAAGCCCCCTTACGCTGCCTAGAGGCTCCATGCTATTTCTGGGAGACTTATATGCCCACTTGCAGGATCATTTCGATAGTTAAGGAGCATTCCACGTTACCCTTTATTTCTTTACATTTGTTCGGGGGGACCTGCGCTGTTGTTCGAGCCCTTTCTGCTAACGGGCGGGGGCACTCTTGTTAATTACGGGCTCTTCCACGTGTTCTTTCCATTCGCCATAAAGGAAAAAACTTGCTTAGGGTCCTGGATTCTTGTCTGGTGCCCATCTGATGGCCTGCTTGGGCACACCCGTCGTTCGGGGACGCTACACACCGGGTCTTGGGTATTCCTTTTCTGAATGGAGGGCCCTACGCTTTGGCGGGGGGGAGGGGGGCTGTCTGATTACATGCTCCGGCACATTCAATCATTCAGAGGCCCTCTACATCGGGCCTTGGGCATGTGCTATTCGAATGGGGCCCTACGCACTTACCCCCCCCCCCCCTGTTCGCCTGCTCAGCCATACTGGATTGCTTGGGGGCCCTACACATTGGTTCTTGGTGTTTAAATTTGCGGCCCTCTGCTCCTATCACGGTCATCTGATAACCTGTTCGGGTACACTTCATCTCCCGGGGCCCTCCGCACTGGGTTTTGGTTACTTCTTGTTTGAATGGAGGGCCTTACACACCTGGCGGGGCCCCTTCTAATATGATGCTCGGACCCATTCGATCGTGGAGACCTCTTCTCGTGGTTTTGGGTACTTCCTTTTTTAATGGAGGAACCTCCGTACTTTTCGTGGGCCCTATCTGTTGGCACGCTCTAGCGCACTCGATTACGTGGGGCACTCTGCATGGTGTCGTGGATGTTTCATATCTGAACGGAGGGCTGTACTCTCTCGCCGGGGCCCCACCTTTTAACCTGCTCGGGCACACTCGAATATCCGGGGGCCCTCCACATAGTGTCTCGGGCACTTCCTGTCTGAATGGAGGGCCCTACATACTTGTCAGGAGGCCCCCATCTGCTCACCGCTTCAGCCACACTGAATTGTGCGGGGGTCCTGCACATTGGGTCTTGGTGTTCGAATTTATGGTCTTACACTCCTGTCTGGGCCACCTGATAATTTGCTCGGGCATACTTCATCTTCCGGGGGCCCTCTGCACTAGGTTTTGAGTATTTCTTATTTGAATGGAGGGCCCTACGTTCTTCTCGGGTCCCTTCTGCTCGGGCACATTCTATCGTTCGGGGCCATTCACATCAGGCCTTCGGTGCATCCCATTCGAAATGAGGGCCCTACGCTCTTGTTGGGAGCCCCTATTTCTTAACCTGCTCGGACAAATTCGATCATTGCGGGGGGGGGGGCTGGGCGCT